GTTTTCCCAAACTGTGGGAAAAAAAGCCTGGACTCCAAGTTGGTCCAGAGACCTGGGATTTGAATCCTTAGTTTTGTGACCACAGTGAGGTGGGAAGACAGTGTACTTATCCTGAGAAATTCTTCTCAGGACTGAGCCAGCTCTAAAAGTAAGTACTCCCCCAACTCTAGTGGAGAGAAACTCTGGACGGAACTGGATATTCCTACTTCCTGCCACGCACAGAGAGCTCAGATCACCGGGGCCGCCACTCCCTCTCAGGGCAGCCCGCTATAGGAGGGACAGTGACTCCATGGCCCTGACCGCTTCTCCATGTGGGTGCGAACGGGAAGAAAAAGCCTCTGGCCAGAAATGTAGTCCATGTGGTCCCCAGCGGTGACCCCGGAGCAGCTGCAGTCGCTCCAGGCCCTCTTCCCGACGCCCATGGAACTAGAGCCGCCAGAGGAAAACCTAACACCGATTAGCACAGCGGGCGTGAGGCTGTACCTGGGCTGGGGCTAAAAGCATCTGCAAATCCATCGGGAAGCTGTTCTACCCACCGGCCATTTCTGGAACACATCCCAGTTTAGGAAATACGAAACAAAGATAAATAAATAGTCCGAAAGCTCAGGGAAAAAGACAGGTGCAACCCAGAGGCCGCCTTCAGCCACAGGTGTGGGCTGACCTCAGAATGTGGGGAGCCCTCCGAAGCGGAGTCCTGGAAAGAGCGCACAGGAGCCGCAAGCCACTGACTCACAAACTGTGGGGGGGAGTGGGGGAGCATGGCAGTCACAGAACCCTGCCATGGGCCACCCTGGACCTAGGAGTTGCCTACAAACAAAGCTTCTCTCCCTCTGACACCCAATTCTGTCCTCTTCTCAGATCAAACATTAGAATGCAGCTGACTGAGAGATGAGATTTAAAAGTGGTGCCCAAGGTACAGTGTTAAGTCAAACAGAAAATAAGCTGCAGAATAGTATGTATACAATTTCATGTTTTTAAACATTTTTGGGGTGGTGATGGTAATATTTTATCAGAAAAAAATATTACAATTGTTACTGCATATTACGTCTGGAGATTGGGATGATAAGGGACTTCCATTTTCTGTTATATACCTATAAAACATCTATGGATATTTATCGTGTTTCAATTTTTAATAGTGAGCGTACATACTGCTCTTATAATTAGAAAAAATATTTGTAATGTGATGGAATGGTTCAAGTTGTTCAAATCATAATGGTCATGCCATTCCCTCTCCACCACAAGGTTTTGGCTTGTTTGGTTTTCTACGTGCCACTTGCTGGCTGTGACACTGGTAGGAAGAGGCAGGTGGGTACAATGCAGGCCCTGAGGCACTAAGGAGAGGCTGGGTTTCTTTCCCACTACCACCCGCAGGAGTGTAAAACCCAAGCACTGCTTTTTAAAAAAATATATTTTATTGGTTTTTTACAGAGAGGAAGAGAGAGGGACAGAGAGTTAGAAACATCGATGAGAGAGGAACATCGATCAGCTGCCTCTTGCACCCCCCTCCCCACTGGGTCAATCATCCCAGCCCTTTGCTCAGACAGGAGCCAACTGACTAAGTGGCTGTGGGTGGTGTCAGAGAGGCTGTGGTGATGGAGAGGTGTAGACAACACACACACAAAGGAACATTTTAAAACACAACTGTCTGGACTCTTATTTATTTATTTTTTTTTAAAAAAAGGGCAGACAGAACTGCTCTGGACTATAAGAGGTGAGGAGGCAATAGCCAAACACACTGTAAATATTGATTGGCTCCTAGAACAAAAAAATGCAGCTATAGCCGAAACTGGTTTGGCTCAGTGGATACAGTGTCGGCCTGTGGACTCAAGGGTCCCAGGTTTGATTCCGTCAAGGGCATGTATCTTGACTGCAGGCACATCCCCAGTGGGGGGTGTGCAGGAGGCAGCTGGTGGATGTCTTCTCTCATCAATGTTTCTAGCTCTCTATCCCTCCCTTCTTCTCTGTAAAAAAATTAATATTTTTAAAAAAATGCAGCTATAAGAGACAGTTTTAAGACAAATGAGTAAATTTAAATACATTATTTATATAAAACTAGTGGCCTGGTGCATAAAATTTGTGCATGGGGGGAGGAGGGGTCGTCTCTCAGCTTGGCCTGCATCTTCTCCAATCTTGGACCATGGGGGGGGACATCCCTCTCGCAATCTGGGACCGCTGGCTCCTGACTGCTCACCTGTCTGCCAACCTGGTCACTCCCAACTGCCCCCCACTGCCAATTTGCTGCCCCCAGCCCCTCCCCCCATGGCCTGATCACCCCCAACTACACACCCCCCCCCGCCCAAAGCCTAATTTCCCCTAACCGCATCTGCCTCGGGCCTGCCACCATGCTTTGTCTGGAAGGACTTCTGAAGGAGGCACTCACAAAAGGCTTCTCCTGAGAAAGGGAAACTCCCAGACAGCAAAATCCAAACTAGTAAGTGCAGAGGAGTTACAGTTAGCACTATGGTGACCACGGTCTCAGGCAAGAACCATCAATGGATTCTAAAACGAGCGGGTGCAAGTGTTAGGAGAAAGCACCTCCCTACAAAATACTTATTCATTACAAACAGGCAAAGAGAAGCATGGCAGGCACCACCACCTCAATCAGGGAATCAAAGTAGACATCTCCAGCGACGGGGCACGCTGACATCACTGGCCACGTGGTGTGACGCCGTGAGAAGGACACAGCATTGCTTCCCTGCTATTTCCGCCAAAAACACAACCCTGAATCTAATCAAGAGGAAACATCAACAAAACAAAACTAACAAACCCCACGCTGAGGAACATCCTACAAAATAACTGATCTGTACTCTTTAAAACTACCAAGGCCATTAAAAACAGATAGACTAAACGGTTTTAGATTAAAGAAGACTTAAGAGACTTGACAATTATATGTAATCTCTCACCAAAAAAAATTATCTTTTACTATAAAGGACATTTTAATGGAACTAATGAAATGAAAATTTCTATAGATTAGATAGGTTAGTACTGTATCAGTGTTAATGTCCTAGTTTTTAAAATTTCATGGTGCTGTAAGAGAATGTTTTTTAGGAAATATCCACTGAAGTATTTAAGAGTAAAGCTGCATCATATCTGTAACAAATATTTTAGAAAAAAGATACAAATATATAGAGAAAGAATGATACCGGGAATATGGTAAAATGTTAACATTTATGGAATTTTTAGTTACTTTCAAATTGTTACAACTTACAATTTTCCTAGAAATCTGAAATGTTAAAAAATAAAGGGAAAAAGAGCCCACCCCCTCCTTCCAATGCCACAAACCATCTCTCTGAAACATTGGTGCAACTAGAGAGAATGTAACCACAGAATGGCTTTGTGCAGATTTCCTCCTGGCCCAAGGGAGAGGTGCCAGGAAGAAACAGATACAAAACCAGTGTCCAGCCCTGACCAGTACGGCTCAGGTGGCTGGAGCGCTGTTCCATGACCCGGAAAGTCGAGGCTTTGATTACCCATCACGGTACATACCTGGGCTGTGGTTTGATCCTCGGTCAGGGCCCGTACAGGAGGCAACCGATCAATGTTCTTCTGTCACATTGATGCTCTCTCTCCCTCCCTCTCTCTAAAACCTATAAACATATCCCCTGGTGAGGATTACAAAACAAAAACAAAACCATGGACACTCGGAAAAAGCCTTGGTTACAGGATGGACTAAACAAAGCTGCAGATCTGCTGTGATGATGCAGAGTGCTTGCTGTTTCCACCCTAACCCTGGTGTGCTGCAGAGAAAACCCTGGAAATAACCACAAAGTCTTTAGCGGGCTTTAATTTGAAACCTACATTCCCTGATTCTGCACATCCTGAGGAAATATTAAAACCAGTCACCCAACTTAACATGCTGCTGCTTAATGATCAGCAGAGCCTGGCAGGGTGTCCATACCACACACTTAATATCACTACAGACAGCACCGGAACCAGGAGGAACACAGACGGAGACCATAATCCTCACCTTGGTTTCAAATCAGTTTAAGCCTATATTCTTTTTTTTTTTTCTTTTTTTTTTTTTTTAAATATATTTTATTGATTTTTATACAGAGAGGAAGGGAGAGAGATAGAGAGCTAGAAACATCGATGAGAAAGAGTCATCGATCAGCCGCCTCCCGCACACCCCCCACTGGGGATATGCCCGCAACCAAGGCACATGCCCCTGACCGGAATCGAACATGAGACCCTTCAGTCCCCAAGCCGACGCTCTATCCATTGAGCCAAACTGGTCCCGGCTAAGCCTATATTCTTGAGCTCAACTACTAATGCTCAAGAATTCCTGTAATCCTGGGCGTACTATACCTCCTTCTCCCCAAGCTCACCAGCACTGAGAAGAACAAGGGAAACAACATGGAAGTAGAAGCTCCAGGGGTTTCAAAAGAGAGGCCAAGAGACATGTGCTAGGAATCCACATGCATGAAATGAATGTTTTAACCCAGGTAAAATCGTGTCACTTCAAGAACAAAGAAGAAAAAATGTAAGACAGTGGCTTTCGCATAACACCAAGTTGTCAGTGGAGTTGAAATGTAGCTGCTCGACTAGAAGATACCCAAGCTGTGTGTGTTGTTGTTTTTATCTCCATTAAAAAAAATTTTTTTAATCTCTCAAAACACGAATGGCAGGCACTGTTACAACTAGTCATTCATTTTATTAAACCAAAATGTACTATCATTTGCGCCTAGCCCAGTACTGAGGTCACAATGAAGAAGCTGACGGGCAGACAGGCTGCATGCTGTCACAGGAGCTGGGGACACAGAAGACACTCGGTCGGCCACCGCGGCAGCCTAAGAACGGACTCCTCCCGGCTCTGAGAGCGTGGCTGGAGCTGGCACCCAGCTCACACTATGGAGATGGAGGGAGGAACCAACAGCTCCTCCTCAGAACCCATCTCACACTAAGCGAGAGCTGACTGCAGCACCTCTAGATGGCTTAGCCCTCTGGAAAGCATCTTGTGTGGACAGAGAAAGGGGTCATTGGCTGTGAGGTCACACACTTACCTGTGGCTTCAATGTACTCGATGCATCTCTCAATAAAAACAGGAATGGGCTTCTCTGGAGTCACGACGGTGGTTAAGGGGACCCCAAAATAGTTGCTCTCCCAGGTTGCCTTTGTGATGGACGGCCGGGGTTTGGGCTTTGGTTTCTGTCCAAGAAAGAGAAGAGAAAGCAGAAAAATAAAGTGAGTCTCATCGTGCACCTACACATCAGGAAGGCTTCCAGGGAGAAGTCACAGCGGTGCAGAAACTGCTGGAAAGGCTTCAAGCAGGAGAGAGAGACCCACTCGTTCATCTCACTAATTCTGCATTTTCTAGCCTCCAAATAGCACACAAGCTGCCAGCAAGCTGCCTCATAATCACACCTTGAGCAAGAGACTGCGTCGTCAGAACAAAGGTGTTTATAAGAAGCAAGCCATGTTTATTTAATAACAACGAGATGACTATCCGCGGCCTTTATCAGGGGTGCACTGGCATAAACAGGAAGTTTTCCAAACATCCCGAATGGTAATAGATGTTATACACTCAACAATGACTAAACTCTTAAAAAGATAAAAGATGGAATTGAAAACTATTAACTTACCCTCTCCAGAACAGGGATAAAACATGTATTTGGCTAAGGCTAAAAGCCCGCAGCGAGAATTCCCTTAGATCGGCACCTGCTAGCAATGGCTTCTGCCTTTGCAAAGGGCAAAACTAACTCATCAAAGGTGATAAGTAAGATAACTGTCTTTTCTTTCTCAGCAGCACCTTCCTCACACAGGGGGAATAGCAGCTACAACTACTTGAGAGCTTACTGTGTACCAAGCAAGTTCCAACTATTATTCCTTTTAAACCTCATGATATTCCATTTTATCAAGGAAAAATGTCACATGCCTAAATGACACAACTAGTAAGCGACAGTGCTAGGATTCGAACCCAGGAGAGTCTGTCTCAAAAGATTCTGTCAGTAGGTCTTCATTACTGTTAGGAGTTACCCAGATTGTAGTGTATCTTTAATCATTTATCCAACCATACAGTCATCGTCTGCCTAGCCCAAGAACTTTTTTGGGGGGGGAAATGCAATGGACCCACTGGTCAAGAGCGCAGGTTTTGCAGTTAGACAGACTTGGGTAGTAACTGAATTTTTCTAGGACTCAGCTTCAGCTGTAGAATGGGGTTCCTAACACCCAAACCCACCTGTCTACTGTGAATCTAAAGTGAAATAATTCATATGAAGAACTTAAGCAAGTGTCTGCTGCATAGTAAGAATTCAACTGATGGAGGCTAGATTTTCTAGCTAACTTAGATTGTTAGAAGACACCTCCTTGTCTTGTTCTAACATTGAAGGAGGGGCGAGTATAAGATTAAAATTTATTATCTAGGTACTAGTATTATGGTTAGAAGGTTTTAGGGTGATTAGAAATAGCTTTCTTGCAGCTTCTCTTAAAAGTTCCATTTTAAAAATTCCTTAAGACCAACTACCGTATTTTTCGGACCATAAGACGCACTTTCCCCCCCTCCAGAAGTGGGGGGAAAAAGTCCCTGCGTCTTATGGTCCAAATATAGCCTACACATATACTTTTAAAAAAAAGTTTTTTTACTTGCCCAGCTCTGTGTGGTCTCTGTGTGCTTGCCCGGCTCTAAAATGGTTCTAAATGCTGCTGTTTACTTTACAGGGTTGATTACATGTGTTTATGACTGTGATGTTGGGTTTTAATGCACATAAAATATTTTAGGACACTATTTGTTTCAGAATCTTTTTTTCTTTATTTCCCTTCTCTAAAAACTGGTGCGTCTTATGGTCCGGAGCGTCTTATGGTCCGAAAAATACGGTAATTTGGAAGTCTCAGTTGTACTGAAGAACAGTGCTGCTATTGGTTTTGACAGGCAAATTCTGCCAAATTGGGATTGGTAGAAAGAATCACCGAAACCCAGAGTTTTCTTTGTACTAGTATATTCAGATTCTAGAGCTGATAGGCTAAACGGGATGGAGAGAACATTGCTCGGTTCCTTGTGATCTGCCTGCAAACAGGTGTAATGACAGAAGCTCTCAGCCCGTCTTCCCTTCAGTAAGAACTCACATTGGTGGGCGACTACTGTGTACCAGGTGCTAAGCCACTTCCGTTCCATCGTGTCATTCCACCCTCACGCCCATTTTGTGAGCAGGTTGCTGTCCCTGAGATGCTACGTCACTTAGCCAAAGTCACAGAACTTGTCTGTCAGGGTTCAAACCTAGGTCTATTAGATTCTAAGGCTTAAATTCTTTTTTTTTTCTTCTTTTCCCCCCTTTATTTAATTGATAATTTTTCAGAGAGGAAGAGAGAGAGATAGAGAGCTAGAAACGTCGATGAGAGAGAAACATCGACCAGCTGCCTCTTGCACACCCCCTACTGGAGATGTGCCCGCAACCAAGGTACATGCCCTTGACCAGAATCGAACCTGGGACCTTTCAGTCCGCAGACTGACGCTCTACCGCTGAGTCAAACAGGTTTCGTCAAGGCTTAAATTCTTTATGTTGCACTTCACGTATGTAGAGGATGCTAGGGAGATAGTCTAGATTGGTTCGCTCATGTAAAGATACATCGTAAGTCATTAAGTTGTTTTTCCTTATTTCTTTGTAAAAAGTGTGAAGTTAGGGCCTGCGTGCCTCGGCAGTCTATAAGGGGAGATATATCACTGGCCTCACAAGGGATGGGCACATTGCAGTTGGGAATGTGTGGCTTTTCTCTGGGACCTAAGGATCCATCCTCATCCCTCCATACTGAGTCAGTGAGCTGGTAGCAGGTTGCATGAAATACAGATTGGATGTCTTTCGCTTTGGGTTGTCACTTCAGGTAATGCCAGCCAGTAGCCTAGAAATGGGCTTGCTCCTTCTTTCATATATATTTTATCCTCAGCTGTTCTTTTTTTCTTGCCACTGGTTTGCACAGGAAGTCCTCAAAGAATCTCAGACTAAACAGGAAGTGATCTGTTTTCTCTATAAAGGGTATCAAAAGGAATGAGAATGGGCAGGATAAGGAAAGGGAACAGTTGACTCAGGCCTAGAAGCTAGTTTAGTGATTTTTAAGTAGAGTCCCCTACTTTTAAGTTTACGGGTTGTGCAAATTTGTAAGTAAATCTGCCCTCCTAAATTGGTCTTATTAACTTGGAAATGAATTGAATTGCTGGAGATACACTTGGGTCCATTTACCTTGATCCTATTTGGATACCCCCCCCCCCCCCCAGATGATGTTTTAACAAAGGCCAAAATTTCAGTTATATTTCTGTGGTTTTAGGAAATTTCCCATATTTTGGATCATTGTTTTCCTTATGTGTGCTTCAAAATAAAGGGATTGAATGATTCTGGAGCAAATATATCAACAGTATTTATGAACATGGACTTTGGAGAAAGGGAAGACTGGGCACTATGACAACTATTTCAAACAGCTATAGAATGATCTCATGGCAAGAGAACAGAGTTTACACCATTTCCAAGGGTCATGTTGGGAGAGAGAGAGAAGGAATACACAGCAAGGCAATTTTGGCCAATATAAACAAAAAGTTAAAAAACAAGAAAACCCCAGCTGTTTAGAAAGGATGGGAACTGCTTGTAAGTATTCAAAGCAGAGACTGCAGCCTACCTGCCATACCCGTCAAGGAACTCTGCCATCGGATGGGAGCTTTAGAATGAGACAATCGTCTCATAGATAGTCCCCTCACCTTGAAGGCTCAAGATCTCGTTTAGCACTTCAACTTACAAATACAGAAACAGAGTAAGCTTTAACAGCGTCAACTCTCCTTACCCAGTGACATGGATTTCTCTCTCTCTCTTCCGTCCCCCACCCCTCATTTAAACAAACTCTGATTTATGGACTGTCACATACACCCTTGAAATAAATGAAGGCTCTGTAGGGTGTTACAAAATAAGGTAAGGAATTCTTGTGCAACTAATTCTAAACCCTCCTATAATAGTAAGCAATTCAGAGTGCAGAGTGTGGTGCCTGCCAAGAGCTGGGCCAGACTGCCGATACAGGCCCCACATCAGGTACCTGAAGAGTCCTGGGCACTGTAAGCTGGGAATGCCATCCTCCTGAGTGGCCTGCCAGATGCCGCGGTGCCCGGCCAGACATGTGCCACTCATTAGGAGTCACGGGAGCCCTTTCCGCAGCGGGTCCTTGGAGAGAAGTAACAGCAAGCTGACATCCATCTTATTTCGGGATCACTCACTTAGCAGGCTGAATTGAAAAAAAGAGTCTAGCCAGAGGAAACCAAGCCCTGAGAATAATCTACACATCCGTGTCTCCAAGTTTAGAGTCCGACTGAGTCAGAACGGGAAAATAACAGTGATTAATTAGGAGTGGTCGTGTGTAGAACACTGTGCCAGGTGCTCAGCACAATTAATTGAACTTCACAACCAGCCTTCAAGTAAGGGCCGTTAGCCTCATTTTCCAGACGTGAAAACAGGCCCAGAGAGACTCATCCCAGCGCGGAGACAGCCAGGATGCAGAGGCTAGTGATCGACGAATGCCAAAGCCCCACGCTCTTTCCCTTACATGGGCTAGCTTCATGACGAAACGCCACTGACATAAACAAAGGACTGGGTCCATTTGAATCAACCTCTCCTCGTCTTTTTGGATAAATATTTTTGGATGAATGACAGTCCATTGTTCTTTACTTCAGTTTCCTTAGGAACACTGTGCCTGATTCTTAGTCTTGATACTTATCAGGTGGCAAAGGAAATAGAAATGAACCACTAGATCATGGCAGTGTACTGCAGAGAAATGGGGATTGGAATTTGCCTCTGGCCTCTTGGCACTTCCGAAATGAGAAAAGAGCATTAGCAGGAAAGCCCCAACTTTGCCAGAGCATGAGACGTCTGTTGCTTGCCCCTCCGTGTCCACAAGGGCAAGAAAAGACTAGAATTCAAGCCCAGGAATAAAGAGGCTGGCAAAGGGTCCCTCCTATCAAACTATACAATACCTGGGCTCCGGAGCCTGATGTGCAGTAGGCACTTAATACATTTCCCAAACAAAACCAGCTTCCAAATGCACAGGGCTAATGTCTCTTGGTAGCTTTTCAAGTCTAGATGAGAACGGTCACTGTGGGCTGCTCTCACTAGGAGGTGAAGAGGTGAGGCCAGAAGGTCTTGCTCACAGACAGTACTGTATCACAGATGGTCAATTCCCTG